CATATATATTGCTTATTTTGGGAAAACGTCAGGAATATGGGAGAAATCGTGATCAAAACAAATAAATCTATCATATTTATGCTATCACATTATTGAAAAAGTAAGATAAGAATTGAGCAATAAGGATTGTATTATTTAAACGCGCAAACGCTTCTATTTGAAAAAAGAAATTCTGCAAGACGTACAATTTGATGCCATTGTATAACGTAATAAAATATAATTACTGTATTCATTGGGGCATCACTTTGTTATAATCTCTATACGTATACTGAAGGCGTAGTAAGATATATTATATAATATAATATGTAGGCCTATTATCAGACGCTTTTAATGCTTGTGAAATCATTTTATTCTTATTGTTTATCAAAAAGTAAAGACAAATGATAGTCGCGAGCGTTATGAACGTTAAGTGGAACACAGCCCTAAGAAGTCATGAAAAGCGTCATTGTGTTTTTTGTCTTTTTTTTTTTAATACTTTTAATACCTCCAGTATACGTTACTACCATATATCTGAAAAAATGTGTAGTATTTATTGAAAAAATTCGATATACTCACTTTTTTAGATCTAAATCTAAGAATTTTAACGGCAAATTTTCCCATAATTCTGATGTTTCCTCAAGATAAGCGATATAAATACATACTATTCAAATCCGCTTGACGATATGATGTCTCAGATATATACTTTGTACATCTCGGAAATTTTTACATTTTGGTCGAAAAAGGTAGCTTAACATCCTCCTTTACATAAAAGCTTGTTCAGGTAAAAAAATTATGCAAAATAGAGATAAAAGAAACAAAAGTCAGCCGTACAGAGCCAGCTGTGCGGCACAAAAAAAGTAAGGAACAACGCGTTAAATGCAAGTTGTTATTGAGATATTGCAAGAAAAGCAGCAGAAGATTACGTATGTGCAGGAATGTAACGTACTTGCGTTTTCTGGCTTAGCAAACGGGGCTGCTCCCTCGAGATGCATGTGATATAAACGGACATTTCTTACATCGCAGCGTACCCCGTAATCGGTCATCGCTCTCAGTAATTCAACGGGTGTCGCCGCCGCACCTTGAACGTACACCACCTGATCTGCAAATAAAAAGAATTGAGAAATATTCTTTCTATGCACAAGTCAAGATTCCGTCAAAGCAAAATTTACTCGAAATTAAATCGGCTAAGATCAAATAATAAGATTTTATAAACTCAAAGTATGGTATGGCTGGATGGATGTGTGTTAAGGGGATGCTAGAGTCGCTTATATTACCGATAAAACTAGCGTTTCCGATATTTTCGTTCCTATCGAATTTCTTCGTAGTGATATCACGAAATAAAAATTTCTTTTCCACGATTAAAATGTACATGCTAATGTACTTGTCGCTGGTGTATTTCATGTCCAAAGCTGAAAAAAAAATTATAGATTTCTTTATTCATTTTACTTTCACGTTGGTCGTCATACTGAAGTAAAAATAGATAAAGAAATGTGTAATTTTTTATTTTTTCCAGCTTTGGACATAAAATAATGGTACATCAGCGACAAGTACATTAGCATGTACATTTTAATTGTGGAAAAGGAATTTTTATTCCGTGAAATCAACTATGAAGAAATTCGACAGGGACAAAAACGTCAAAAATGTTAGTTTTATCAGTAACAGGCGGCTCCAGTTTACAATTTTTATCCCGTTAAGGATAGAAATTGTAAAACAAGTCCCCTTCTTGACTTTAGCTACGCTAAAGTGAATGAATTCTATTCTATTTATATCCTATTATATTCCAATAAGAGTTTGTAAGCTATTATATTTTTGTGCGCTACAGTATTCAAACGCATTTATTCATGTCCTAAAATGCATTTTTTCAGTTCTAAAATTGCATCAAAGTGACATTTTTTATCATTTTTCCATTTTGTATTTTAACTTATCTTAAATTTCGATAAAAAATTTAATATTTATATAGATAAGATTTGCATTTACGTAACTAATTTAATATTGGTTTTAATCTTAATGCAATTTGTTATAACAGCTTATCGATACGTTTTTGCAGTGAATCTTGATGAACTTACTAATCAATCTTTTTCAGAATATTATTATCATTATCATTATTATTATTATTATTATTAGGCGTTAGGAATTCGAAAGCTCATTGCCGCAAATACCAAATCCCGCCATTGTTCCCGTCCCTGAGCAAGATCCCTCCATTTGTGACCCAAATAATAATAATATATTATTATTATAATATATTATTATTACAAATAATAATAATATATTATTATTATAATATATTATTATTACAAATAATAATAATATATTATTATTTGTAATAATAATATATTATTATCATATATATATATTATTGTCAAATATTATTACTACATGTAATCATATTCAATTATAAAAGTTAACAAAGAAAAAATTATTCTACGCTAAACTGATATGTTTGATAATTTTTGTACTTTGGATCCCAACACTCTAGATTATAGTACGTTATGATTTAATGTTTACACACTTATCGTAATAATGACATATCTCTTAGTAAATATCTGAACCCGGCATTATTGTAATGCTAAAATGTTACACGGACATTGAGATGACTCATGATAACCCGGATATTTTTTTGGTCTATTCTCGCAATGTCAATGGTTTTAGAAAGTCTTAGCTCCAGTTACAGGGCGGTTAAAATCTACGAAATATGTAAGAAAATATAGATGTTTAAAAATGTCTCGGATCATTATGACCCAGCAACAATGACGTCGGATTAAGTGTTATGTATTTATTTGGTCGATTACAGATCTGTTTTCGATAACTGAATTAATGTACATTTTTAGAACTTAAGTGAAATAGGCATATATATATATGATATTTGGCTAAAGCAAAAAAAAGTTTTAATATAATCTAGTGCACAAATAAAAAAGCAGATCTCATTTTATTAAATTCGAATGCGTCTGAAATATTAATAACAATTTTTGTAAGGTATTACTTATCGAGACTGCAAACTAATTGACAATTCCACATATATTCTACTATTATAAACTATTAACTTTATCTATACTAAAAAAATATATCTATTATCAAATCGAACTTTGTTGATAATAATCGGATATCCGACAGAAGTTTTTATTGCACATATCTTATCGGAACTTTTGTTTAGCACAGGAATATGAATTCCTGTACTTCGCAGTGTTACATTATTCAATATGTTTATAAAAAATACGATCCACTTATCCAATACATAATTCATCAAATTAGTTAAAAAACAGTTTTAAATCCAAATAACTTTAAAGGTAGATAATAATGCAAATATTATTATAAGAGGGAATTTTTAATTTTCCTATATAACAAGTAATACTTTGATCTCGAAAATTATCAGCTATGTATCTGCAATATGTTACGTGATCATATATGACTTTTGTACCTACGTCATGTTTTAATTAATGCTATGACGTTAATTACGTTTTCTTATTGAAAGATACCGCCAATAATCCTGAAGATTTTAAATATTGAAGTAGATTTAAAACTGCAAAAATAAATTCGTATAAAGTACGCTTTTTTATGTAAACTGAGCATAATTACACAGGAAGAGAATCGGTAGATTACACATATTGTTTACATTACGGAGATATACAAGGTATCTCTTAAGTAAGGTTGGAGCCGCATTGGGAGCATAGAATAGGTCAAGGTGGACAAAAAAATTTTACACCATTTTGCAAATTTCGCAATAGTTAACAAAATATTAATTACTAAAAATGGCCGAATATTGATCTTTAATAATTTCTTTCTCAAATACTATCAACTTTACAGAAAAACTGTAAAAGACAAAAATTGTTCATTTTCTTCTCATAAAGTTCTGAGAATTTTTTCAGAATTTTTTAATACCGTATTTTCTCATAATAATAAAAATAAGAAAACGTAATATTAAAAAGTTGATAAAAAATTCTGAAAAAATTCTTAAAACTTTATAAGAAGAAAATAAACAATTTTTATCTCTTATAGTTTTTTTTATAAAATTGATAATATTTAAGAAAAAAATTATAAAAGACCAATATTTGGCCATTTTTAGTAATTAATATCTTGTTAACTGCGAAAATTACAAAATGGTATAAGACTTTTCGGTTCCTCTTGACCTATTCTACACCCCTAATGCGGCTCCGACGTTACTTAACAGACACTCTGTATAATCTGATTTACTAACGACAAAACGCTAGTTAACGAAACTTTAGTTGGCAGTTGGCTGCGTATCTACTCGTAAGAACTAGACTTTGATATTTACGTATACGTAACGCATATCTGCATACAGTGAGTACAAAAAGTATTCGTACAGAGAAAATATTTTTTAAAAAAACTTTATTTTTAAAAATTAAATATTATCCAGCGAGAAATGAGTCATCGAATTGATGTCAAATCGATATCGATACGATGATTTCAACATCAATTTGACGTCGATTCGATGTTTAATTAATGATCATTTCTTGCTGGGTAATTAATTTATTTATAAAGTATAAAATAGATTGTATGTTTCTTAAAATTATATATATCAAAAGATGTGTATTAATTATAGAAAATATATCATCTAAAAAATAAGCGGAAATTAAAAGTTCCATTATTTGGATGCTCAAAAAGTATTCGTACAATCGAAAAATTTAAAGCTTATAATATCAGAAATGCGAAACTCATTTGTATGTTAGAACAGAATGTATTCATTGTATAAAATTGCTAATTAATGTTTATTTTCTACAAATAAGATTTTTTTTATAAAAAATTCTTGTTTATAAAAATTTTGTTTAAACCTTGTACGAATACTTTTTGTTTTCACTGTACATCGAAGTCAATATTGGTAATTCATTTTTCTAGTATTATCTACACAGCTGTCAGTGAATTTTTTTTCCATTGATTAAAAAAAAAAAAATATATTATAAAAAGACAAGTAAAAAAACTGTAAGAATTATTTATAAGCCACAAATATAAAATTTACAAAACTCATATGGTTTAAAATAGTTTAAATTATAGAGACGGCAAAATGGGGATAAATTAGAAATGGCATTGAAAGTATCAAGGACACTTTATACAAATGACATCACTTTAGACTACGCAAGAATAAAAGAAACGATGTAATCACGAATGTAATTCTAGAAACAAACTCTGGGCGATTTGCATTTATATTATTTACATAATGTTTATAACATCTTCTTATATATATAAATTATGAAATTATTATATATAGGAAAAAATCGAGAATGAAATTAATCTTCCATTGTTTCTATACGAGTAAATACATTTCGAGTCAAGTAGTTAATAGTAATAAATTTTTATGATTAATTAACATCGATCGACCATCAGTTTTCTTTATCTGCAGAAATGTAAATGCTTCATTTATGTCCTCGGTAACGAACATAATACGAACGATGTCATAAATTTTTCAGTAATCGGCATTTTCAGAATTGATAATCGATTTTATCGCAAACGCTCGAAAAATTTACATTTAAACGCTGCATATAAGCAGCGATAGTTAGCAATATTTTGCGCCAATTTTCATAATCAAATATATGAAGTATGAATAAATATTTATGTCTATTAATATATAAGTTTTATTCAGTTGGAGATCTATCCAAAACATAGATAATCTTAACTTATGTAAAATTTTTAATTAAATTTTCAGGATAATTCTTTTACTTTTCTATATAAATTTATTTTTTTTTCTATATAAAAACCCGATTGAATTACCATAATACATGCATGTGTAAACATTTATAATATCAAAGAAATCAAAAGAGACACAATTCTAAAGTCTTTGTTGTCACAGCGCTTAAAAAATAATTCTTTTATGCTTTTCTTAACTCTGATTAAACATTAATTTACAAACAGGCACAACAGATTTATGCAATAAGTGTTCTCTTAGGTATTCTTAGTTCGCGAAGAAAACTGTAGATTCGAACATATAAAAATTAAAAATTTCAACAATGCAGCATAATTATGAAAAAATAAATAAATTACAGTTGGTCACGGGTGTGTTTATCCGTATTGTCTAGGCTAAGGTCGTACCAAAAATAATGCCGTGAATTCAAGGCGAAATACTAAAAATATCTCGAGTCGGTTGCCGACTAGCAATAGATTATCTCATAAGTCTAGAGGATCTGTCACGGCACAAAATGTGGCCAAACACAAACACGTATATAATATATCGAGCGACCAAATTTTACAGAGAGATGACATAAAAATATTTGTGCTAAATACACTTATGTAAATGTAAAAGTATACAAGTCAATTTCAATTATTATACTTACTCGATCATCTATAACGAAATTTAAGTATCCAGACGCGTGCGTTTTTATACAATAATTAAAAAAAAGATAAGATAATTATAAATCATTTAAAATTCATACGACTATAATAACGTTCTACATACGTTTCTTTTAAAAATTAATTTATATAAGAACCATCACGTACGTTTGTTTCTTGTACTTATAACAGGATTTCTACAAACGAGAATTTAAAAACACAAATATTTGCAAAGTTAAAATTATGGTAACAAAATATTATGGTAACCTTCGCGGTGTATTACCGTTTGTCTCGCCGCATAAGTTAATTCAATCGCGGGGACGATAAGCAGCTCGTTAGAAAGGAAGTCCAATATACATATATATACATAATAGGCCACTCTTGAAAATTGACACTGAACTGCATGTGCATTCCGATCATCCATTCATCATTCAGTCCAGAATATTTCAGTCTAAAATATTTCAGGCTACATCTCACTCTTGAATAATCAGGAAGAACAATATGGACAAACAATATGAAAAAATATGACATTACAGAAATAAATTCTATTCGAGTAAAGAAATAACTGAAATATCATAAAACATACTATAAGCGCCAGATAATCATAACTATTTTATAATAGTTCCAGAGAATTGATTTGTATCCAAGTTCTAAAGATTGAAATATTTCTTGTTAGCGGATGACGAACGCAAATCCATGCGTCATTGAGACTCACATTTGAATAACTTGAATAGCTGCGTCAACATTTCGTGCCGTATAAAGCAAATCACTGTCTCAATTTTTATTTAGTCTCACCTATAACACGTTTTTTGTTTAGTAACACAAATCAATCTAAAGGTCGATCCTTCTTAAATAATATTCATTTCATGAATAACAAAGATAGAACGGTTATTTGTGTTGACTTGTGCCATCAAATGGAAAGCATTCATAGAAAAAAAATCGACATTAAAGGATCAGCTTTAGATGTCGAAATTGAATGGTAATCTAACATCTGGTTAATCCGACCGAGAAATCACGATGTAACGCGCCTTTTTCGAAGTCGGCAAGGGATGAAAGATAATCGATTACCTGAGTCGAGTTCGGCCTGTTCGATGGCCTCATCGGCAGTCTTCAACCAGCAGGGTTCCTTGTTGGGGATTGGCATTGACGGTTCGTTTACGTACGTAAAGAAGGTCTTTCTCGTGGCATGCTGAAGACAGGGCCGCGACGGGAACGTCATCGTCGCGAGTGCCTTTGTTAGGCTGGTGAGATGTTTAAAGCTCGCCATCACTTCGTCTACTAATTGTCACCGGTGCTGAAATCGCTCCCGCGAGCGAACTGTATTCGACTCTAACTCAGACTAACTCAGATTAACTCACAAGAGAGTGGAGTGAACGTCAAAAACCCCTTTACCCCTCCTATCTATACACCTCCGTGGGAAACTTGAAACGCGACGACCACCACTCGTACGTCTCCACTCACTCCACTATCGCGATGCCGCGCGAAATTCAATAAATGACAGCAAACAGATCGCGGGAAGCCGGAAAGTGGGAGACGACAGACGGTCGGAATCAGACTACGCATTGAAGAAGCGGAAAGCACAGACTATTGCATAACACATGAGGCATAAGAAAATGAACCAATCAAAGTGCTTTATTTCCTTCCTTTCTGTGAAATAAAGGACTCTGATTGGTTGATTTTCTTATGCCTCATGTAAGACCGGAATCAGACTACGCATTGAAGAATGAGATTGAAGATTAAAAGATTGAAATTTGACCAACCAGAAAAGGAGTCAAAATTTCTTTGTCCTCATTGGTGAAATTTCAATCTTTAATCTCAATCTTCAATGCATAATCTGATTTCGGCCTAAGAAGAACACTCTAATTTTCACCGAAGGTTTAAACTGGATCAGAATGTAAGAACCAACCAATTATAGTCAAGTATTCTCCTGCTCGAACAACAGGGGAGTGCTCGACTGTAGTTGATTCTTACATTCTGATCCGGTTTAAACTCTTGATGGAAATTATAGGCTATTGTCAACAGCGTAAAATCTCCCTAGTGAAGTCAAGTCATAAGGGGCACTGATTTCTGATTGGTCAGATTTCGAATCCCTTTAAACGCTGCCATTTATGATTTGATTCCTTACTAGAGGGATTTTATAAGCGTAAACTAGAGAGCCTCAGAGAGAGAGAGAGAGAGAGAGAGAGAGAGCGCACAGAGTGGCAACTGCATCACGTGACCTCCGTCTCCTCTGATTGGATGCGGGCATCAAATCACTCCATCGGCATGGAAGAGATTGGAGAAACTGATCATGTGACTCTCGTCCTGATTGGACGCAGCATTGACGTGCTCTAGCGTAAACTGAATGCAGCGCCACCGCGCCGGATTTGCGAGCCACACGTATAAATATAGCGCTATATCGCGAGCGATATAAACGTAGCGGCAATCGTTGTCACAAGTTTTCGGCTCTTGCGCTTTTCGCTGAGTCTCGCTCTCGTCAGTAGTGTCAGCCATGGTGAAAGGAATACAACATTTGTGTGAAGTTGGACAGTATCTTTCTCCTAAAGGTTTGTTCACTTGTCGCATGCTTCGACATGTTCCTATCTTAGCTCCTACTCATTTTAACGAGCGCGTTTGAGTGAGTAGGAGCTACGATTGGAGAAAGTAGAAGCATGTTGGAGCATGCGACGCGAA